GAGCGGCTGTCACGGCAGAACCGCGCACAGACACCGCTCCCTGCCGCCTTCGGAACAACACCGCTTCCCAGCATTGACACACTGACAGTTTTATTGCCGCCATGTCCTTTGGAAAATTTTCTGCATGAAATACAAAACCAAAAGCAAGACAAAAAAGTTCACGTGAAGCTATCATTTCCTCTTTAAATAACCACAAACTGAAAACTTTCCAGCTTATGACAGGGTTACACAGTCAAACATCCCTGTACAAGATTAGACGTTAGAAAGAAGAGATAGATGCAACACGCTTATCCATGAAAGCTGCCTGTGCTCTGACAGAAGCAGATGGAAGGAAAATAGTGTGCAATTGTTTGGGATTTCTGTGTCCTGAAGATGAAAAATACATCTGAACAAAATTAAATTAGCATTTTAGTTAAGATGCTTACAAAACCAGCTTGCTCACTAATATCATTAACAGTAGGAGCTAACAATACGCTACAAGTCTTGTAGTATTTTGTGTAGTAATGAGAACAAAAGGCACTTCCAAATATTGGAATGCATCATTTTAATAAATCTACTGAATTTAGAAACTTTATAGCCTTGTTCAGGAAACTAAATTCTGAGCTAATTTCCAGAGTTTGGCTCCTATAATCAAGTTTATAATTTGGTAAACCTTAGGCTACTGAACACTAGATCAAAAATAAATATATATATACACTCACATACACACATACACACATAATGACCACCCCACATTCTGGATGTTTTTAAACAAGCAACAAAAAAAAATAAGAGAAACTAGGTCAAATATAACAAAAAGGACAGCCATTAAAATATACTTCAAAAGCTACTTTTGCTCTAATGCTGCCAAATAAGTAATGTTTTCATGACAGTATTTTTAGCAGGGAATCACACCAGTTGAAAGAAACAATCTCCTAGCCCAAGTTCCTCAAGCCAGTTCAGTGAGCCTGCAGTCCGGAATAAGACATAAATTTCATATGTTAATACACCTGCAAATTACTAAACACAACACTTGATTTTTTGTTAAAAGCATTAGCTCCTCCAAAAGACTGTATGTGCATGAAGAGGACAGAACCACAGGAAGGCATCTAAAATAAAGATACTCAGATTAGATTTGCCATTTTCAGCTCATCCTGCTTTTTGCATACACAAGATACTACAGGTTTCAATTAATGTTACAGGAACACATTCAAGATACTTTGCTCTTAGAGATACAGCTCCAGGAAGGCAGGCAAAGAACATCCCTTTAACCTCTTCAACTTCTAAATATAAAACTTGATTTTCCCATTTCAGTGCTCAGTAACTTAGTTGTCTCAAGCAGATAAGAGCTTTCATACAGTTTTAGCTTTAAAACCTACCTCTGAAGTTTATTTAATAAAGTCAGTGCAAGTTTGAAAACTATCCAATTTTGAGGTCTTGAGGCAAATGCCAGTGCATTTTTAAGGCAATAAAAATCCTGTTTTTTTCCCCAAGAGATTTTGATTTTTTTTTAAAGAAACGATAGGAAAACATTAAGAGGAAACATGCCCCAATATATTTCCTCAAAAACTAAGACTGTGGTGGGTGTGCCGTTTTAAGGACAGCTATTGGGGTCAAATTCTACCTGGGGGTTAACTACTTCAAATTATTGTCTTTTTTAAGAAGTCTGACCCTGAACAGTATCAGCACCCTATGAGAATTCTCTATAAAGACCTAAACTAGGTCAGTTCAAGACAGGCTACCAATATAATGAAGTATATAATTGAAGAAGCATGGGAATAGTTATACATGCAGAAAAAAATCAGCACAAAGAACACAATAATCCAGCACCTTTAAAGGGTTTCATTTGTACTTAGGTAGAAGTTAAATTAATACAGCAGGTGATTTATAATTGCGGAAGAAGCAGTACCTATATTGTCACTAGGAGGGAAGGACAAGCTGAGCTTTTAAGTAGTTACAATTCTAAAAGGGGTTTAGGAAATATAATTTGTTACCCTTGTATTAAGTGTTTCAGTCTTGCACTTCAAAATCCTCTTTTTTTTTTTTTTTAATTCAGTGACTAATGCCTCAAATAATAGTCTGAAAATGACTCTCAGGAACCAACACTTCTTCACCTGGTTTGACAAAAGATATAAACAGCTGGTGTGCAGAAAAGGAAGTTGCAGATTTTAAAAGGATAAGTTAAAATTATAAACACTTTGCTAATACTCATAAGAAAAACAACGTAATTGTGGGAAGGAGGCTCTCTGCCTCACCAGCCAAGCAGCTTGCTTTCCATTCAGGTAAGGCCCAAGCCGTCGAACCTTGATCTTGGCTTGATGGGGCTGCTCCTTACAGGAACGGGCACCCAAGCCCGGGCTGCTGCAGGAACACGGGGCTGAAGCGGCAGCTCTGCACTGAGGCGCCCTTGGCTCCAACACGGCAGGAGCTCCCGGTGCTCCGCGTGTGGATGAGCGGACAGGCCTCTCCCGCAGAGAGCGGCACGACACACTCCACGTGTGCAACCGGGAACATAAAACTCATGCTCGAGTTGGGACCTCCAGGCTCCCCAGAGGACACCATGTGAAAAGCCTTACCAGATGGTATTTCAGGGTTCAGGCCTTACTCAGCCGTGCTGCCAGTCTCCAGAACTGCACCCAATACTGCAGAGCTGAGGAGAGGGGCAGGATCGCCGCCCGCGACCGAGGTGAGCCTCGGACAACAGGAAATGTTTCGGTCATTTGGATGAACCTTATCGTGAAAATATGAATATTTACCTCTGCAATCATCTCTAAGGCAGGGCAGGAGTACGACAGGATGAAGATCCCCCTTGTCCATTCATATCCCCATCCTCCTTCCAAGCACTGGCGACACCCCCTTGAAGGTGGAATATTAAAGGATAACGAGCTCCCTTCCTACAGGATCACAAATACAAAAAAAAAAAAAAAAAAAAAAAGGATGATACCTCTTCAGATCAGGGGTTTTGTTAGTTAGTTTGTTTTTCTCCAGAGGGATTCACCTCCGTGCAACTTCGCAAATCCCAGGATGAATGATACATAAGTTATTCCTATTCTACATAGGATAAACAATTTATCACTTCACCCCAAAACGCTGCAGAAACAAGTCACACAGTAACGGCACATTCAGACTACACCTAGTCACTGCAACATGACCCAACTACCAACAAAAAATAGATTTTACAGGCAGCCTAATTTTCAGTATTCAACAGTAATTTGAACTCTTTCATAGAAGATTTTTCCAGATACTCATCCCCCACCCCTTCGCTTCTTTGCGAACAAGTCAAGCTATAAACAAAATTATTTATAACAGATTAAAAAGAGGAAATGAGATCAAAAGATGCTCTTTTCAGAAGAAAAATACAGGCTTTGGCTAAGTATACAGATTCTTAATAGCTCTTGAAAGTCTATTAGTAACACAACAGCTTTTCTAAAGCTACAGATATGAAACAGAGATAAGAGAATGATCACAAATTATATTTATGGAATAAAGACACTGAGAGATGATATTGGAGAATAAAGCTGCTAAAAATAAAGTGTAACTAGTGTGCTCCTATGGTTCTTTTGCTTGAATTTTTCATAATAACTGATGAGAATTTCATAAAAGCTGAAATTAATTATTGAAAAGTATGGCTAACTTCTATGTGAAGTTATTTTCCACCATGAGAATTTTGAACTATGAAATGAAATGCACAATTGATTCTGAATATACAATAGTCCTGTGATAAACTATCTTTATCCTCATTTCACCCGTAACATCGTAATTTATAAAAGGAGTTAATGGAATCATAAATTGCTCCAAGATTTAAAAACAAAAAACAAACAAACAAAATCTTTTAAAGAATTCTATGGCATCCAAAATTAACTTTTCTTTCTACTGTAGAGGTAGGATTCTTCCTATCTCCAACTGATTTTTTAGTATTTACTTACTTAATCTAGCCTGTGTCAGGTCTGAGTACATCACTCTTAAGAAAAAGCCAATTTACATAATTTCTCATAGTTTACTTCCCAACATTTGTACATCTAAAACTCCTTACAGAGAAAAATAAAAATAATTTAAAAAAAACTCTGTATATTTCTAAAACAGATTCTTCATAATATACACAGATAGATTGTGTATTATTTCCTCATTATCAATACACATATTCAAAACTCACTCCAAAAAAGTCTTCATAGTATACTTATATTGTCCATGCTTTTAGTATCTCTCAGCTCACTCTTAGCAAAGTTTTCAGTAAGTTTGCACTTTGTTCTCACATTTACAACAATTTATATAGCACTACAACAAAATCTCCCACTGGGAAAAAAATGGAGAATTTTTCTCTGATTTAAATATGAACTTTTCAAAAGACATGCGAGATCTCGCTTCATAAAGTGTTGTCTTTTAGGCTATATACATAGATAACATAAGATTTTCCCTGTAACGTTTACACAATTCTAGCACAGAACCTGTAGATACATGAGCACAACAGCAGGCTACCATCCATCACTGTGCCTGTAATAGCTGCAAGTTTTCCTCTTAGAAACAGTTCACAGGAGGCCAGATCCCTTTTGATTTTATATTTTTATTACAATCTGTCCACACCTCCAAGTATAAACAATGAACCCTCCCAGTCTCTCCCCCCTCTACCCCACCCAGAGGAAAAAAAATGCATGAGAAAGACCAAGGTGAAGCGATTTAAAACTATTTCAACATCTAACACATAGAACAGAAGAGAAAGCCTAACACTGAAAAAGTTAAACAGCCTCTTGATTCCAAAATATTAATAAATAAAATCTAATAAAAATTGAATTTCTTCTATTTTGAAGAATTTCCACAACAGAGGAATAAATTCAATAAAATAATGTAAAAGCTACCCTTTTGGAGTAAAAATTAGCTTTAGAAAACAAGAAAGTACTGTAGTTTGAGATTATTGTACCTATACCTGAAGAAGTCAAGAATCCAGGTTTGCTTTCCTTAGATTGTTCCCTGTGAGTGTCATAAATATGGCTCATTTCAAATACATCATATATGTATGATATACATATATATATATGTGTGTGTGTGTATATGATGTATCTCTGCAGAGCTGAATTTTAAAAAACAAGCAAAATAATTACTCTGGTATCAGAAATATCCCCTGCAATTAAAATGAAGAAATACCATTAAGTAAAGGTGGAAAACTTATCATGGTAGTTATCAAACTCTTTGACTATTATGATGGGGGGAAAAAAATATATCTCCTGGATTCAAAGGGTGCTTTTCATCCGTATAGTCAAACTAGTAAAAACAGGATTAGAGCTAGTACTAAACCAAAAGATCTCAACACCATAGTATGTCTGAAATACACAGTACCTCCAAACAAACTATGAATTCATTTATAGATCTGTACCACCAATGGGGCAAGAAAACAACATCTTAATTTTCTGTTCAGATTTTATTTGAAATCTAATTCAAATTGTCAAAGCTACAAAAGGGGAAACATCTGAGTTATTTCTGCTATGTCACAACATTCTAAAACAAAATATCACTACTGCCAGCAGATCAGTTACACACATTTTTGATGAAACTTCTAAACACAAAAATGTTTCATTTGGGAAATAGCACAATGAAGATATTTTGTACAATATAAAACAATGACAGGTCTACAGATGCAGATACTCATGAGTATACACGTGCATTCACGAAAGAAAAAGATCAGGAATGCTTTTTTGTTTTTAAACAGACTGTTCAGGCACAAAAACAAAACCGCATTTCCAGTAAGTGACAGCATCATAAAAAATATTAACATTGTCAGTGTTTGCTTTTCTTTGACTTCTTGTGAGATCTGTGGGGAGAACGGGACTGAGACCTGGATTTTTTCCCTGACTTTTTAGGAGATCTGGATCGTGATCTTCTCGATCTTTTCGGTGTCCTGGAGCCAGATGGCGACCTGGAAAAAATAAAGTTTTGCATCAGATAATAATTGATAATTGATGCTTTTCCACAAGCATTTTACCTTTTTTTTTTTTTTGAGCTAATCTAAATAGATTTTTTTTTGCCAGTAGAAATGGGAGATGACAGACTAGTATCTTGTTTTTGATGAAAAGGCAACTTTTGCATAAAGCTTTAAATACCTTTTGGCTTAAATTCCATGTTCAGAACCTACAAGAAAAATAACACTGACTCCTGTCATTCTTAAGCAAACTTAAGCAATTTATAAGCTTCTACATATGCCTCTTCCACCTTGGCTCTTGTGTTAATAGCTGCTGATATTCACATAGAAGTGAAATGAGAAATTATGGTCAATTGTGTTGTACTGAGAAACTTCTGACTCTCATGTGTTTAACTTGGGGTCTATTCCCAGACAACAAAAATGGACAGTGAATAAACTTTGCAACCTAATGTGCACCTACTGCATTATTTTCATGTAAGTTGAATACGATCACAATATTAACACTGAAAAAAAATTACTAGTATCAAACATCTTTCGACCTCTCGTTGAATTGCTAACTTCCAGCACAAGAATCTGATTACTGTAGATCTATACTATGATTTTCTCAACAGCAACACAGGAAGTTGCTCAATGTGTCTGTGCAATAAGATATTGCAGATTCCTAAAAGAAGTGGAAGCTAAACTTTTGAGTTTATCTAAGCCAGGCACCAATAAAATAATAATCTCATCTTGGGTATAACATCAGCAGCTTCTATCAGTCTGGAGATCAGGCAGAAGCTACTCCAGATTTTTTGCATTAAAATAACAACATGGGAGAGGAGCTTTGTGTGAGCACAAACACAGCATGCTCACTGTAATTGTAACACTTCTGTGGGCCAATAAGCTTTGTGAAAATAAAAATAAAGCAGCAGGTTGATTTGGTTTAAGCGCATTTCTCAAGGTTTTCAGTAATGAGGTAAACAAGAACATAGAAAGCAATATTTTTTAGCTCTCAAGACTCTGGCAGTGTGTATGTGTGTGTGTATAAACGCATATATATGTGTGTGTATATATATATAAATATATATATAAAGACCAAGTGTCTACAGATGTTAATGAGAAAGCACAATCCAGTAAGAGTAAACGCACAGGCAACCAACACGCTCTGCCAAGATCAAGACAACTTACGCACCTAACTTACGCACAGGCTGATAAGAGAAGATCCCACCTTACCTTTTGCCTTTTTTACTGACATCTCTGGGAGAATCTTTGTGTGACGACCGGGACCGTGAGCTCTCCTTGTGGGAGCGTTCGGAGCGCTCCGAGCGTTCCGATTTTGGCGATGGGGATTTTGCTCGTCTACTGCCACTACTGCGCGAGGGACTAGGGGACCCACTGTGTCTTCTTTTCCTTTGTAAGAAAGCAAATGCAGTTATGCACGCATATGCACACGGACACACACGCAGAAATAAGGATGTGTATTAAAACAAATTATTCCTTTTGTCTTGCCAGTGTAACGTAAGGCTCCTTTAAGTAACTAGAAAGTAGGGGGTTTTTAATTACTGAAAAATCAGACTGAATGAGAGAAGCCAACTTGCTTTGGTTAAAAAAATCAAGGCTGGTAACTGATCTT